GTTGGAAAGAAATAATATTTGGAATTGAACTACAAAAATAAACAACAAAAGCAACGAATTTTAAAGGGAATAACTAACACAAACTGAGGAACAATTGCCGCATGAAAGACAATTCAAAACATTGAGCCATTGACTCTGCTATGATCAAGCAACAACAAAAAGATAATAGCTTGAACTGATAAAAACTTTTTCAACTGTCAAAAGAAAATTATAAGCAATGGAAAAGAAATGTTAGAATGTTTTGAAATCTCTAAGAAGAATCAAAAGTGATGAATGAAAAGGGTGAGAACAGAACGGTTTATATAATGGGTTGAGTGAATTGGGTTTTCAAGTTTTATTATAACAAAAAAATTGTATATGGTTTAAAGTCGTCCTAAAAATAAGTAAGTTACTAACTGAAATAATTGAAAATCAAAACAAACCCCGAAAGAATTATATTGACGACTTTAATTAGATGAATTTGTACTCCTTAAAAATTTAGGTTCAATTAAATGTCAATTTAGATTGGCACATTCTCACAAAATAAATTTTGCAAAGAGATGAAATAGTCACGTGGAGTTGAAGAATCTATTTAATTGATCTCATTGACATTTGATTCTCCGTCAATACTTTCAATCCGGTGTAAAATGTCTATGAAATAGTCGATCGTATTACATTTGCAACACAATCGAAATTCTAACAGAAAATCTATAAATAAAACACAAATTCATTAGTTAAAAGTTAAAACCAAAATTGATAAAAGAAATGTTTATATAAGCTGGAAAAAATGTTTGTTTAATTAACAAAACGACTTGATCTAGTATAATGAAAAGAGAATGTGTCAATCTATTAGCATGTTGAGAAATCTAATATAATATTTTAAGGGTTTTTTTTTTGAAACTCTCTGAGGGCTGCCATGTGTCAATTGTGTGTTTGACCTCTGTCCCCTTTCATAAAAAAAAAAAAAATCGGCCAACAAAATTTTTATTGTCCTCTTCGTCGGCAATTGATTCCTCAACAAAATTTTTC